TCCCCATGAACACGGGGACGGAACTCAATGGGAAAGGAAATTATACTTATTTCTGATTTCAAAAGTTGCGTATATTAGCTGCGACATATGAATCAAGATGCTATGACCGAAAAAATTTGATTGACAGATGACCGTTGATATATGATTGGCCGAATTTAGGTGTTCAGGCTGACGTATAACTAACTGGCCTGCAGAAGATAACGAAAAACACAGATTTTAAGACAGGATTTTTTCAAACTGAAATTTTCTAACTTTTGGAAAAATATAGTCTGATAAAGAATATATTTATATACATGTTTAAGCCAGAAAAATTTGACATTTAAATATGATTTCCCTACAACTTTAACCCCACACTGCTCCCCAAAGGGATGGGTTAAATGCAGAAAGAAATTTCTTCAGTGTCAGATCAATTATTATTGATACTTTTACATATATTTCTTGAGTATTTCTTTAAATAAATTTAAAAAGGAAAAATAGCAAGCTTTTTAAACCTTAAATATATTAGAATACAGTTTTTCTATTTGATTTCAGTGTGGGAAATGTCTTGGTTGGTACAACTGTATCCATGTTTATTAAAAATATATGTACTTACAATGTAGAATCTAAATATGTTTGTTTTTAATTTGCTACAGAAATAAAAAAAAATGTACCCACCAACGAATCTTTTCCGTTTAAAGCTTCCGCTGTATTTCGTTAAATCATCCAGGTTATCTTTGTTCACTTGGTTTAAATCCACCAGAAAATCATTGAGAAGATCAGAGGAGGTTTCGCGAAATTTAAAGCTTGCTGCTTGATGACGAGACTTACGTTGAAAACTAATAAAACTTTTCGCCATATTGCTTTGAAAAAACTAACCTGTCACGTGAGATTTTCCTGGACAATAACCGTTAAATAATAAATAAAGTGTTTAACGACTCAGACTACAAATATAACCGCTCGCCTAACAATTATTTTTAACAAAAGATGGCGCTGTTCACACGGTTTTCTACAGCCGTTTCGAGTAGGAAACAAAGTTTTGCAGCAGTTTCTCTCGCTTTTCGAGCCACACGTCAACGCCTCCGCCATATTGTGAGAGGCAAGACAGCCATGATATTTAGATTAATTGACTTTACTAATCTCACAGTGGAGAAATGTTCTCGTTACATCAGCTCAAATAGCCAAAGAAGAAGAAGCAGGTTCTTAAGGAAGAAAAAGGTGCATATAGTTCAAACAAATGTGTCCAAATTACACAAAATAAAATCCTCTACCACCTTATAATCACGACTGTTAGCTCATAATAATGAGATATTATGCCAAATATCTGACTGAATAATGGGACAGCTACGTGATTATCTCATAATTATGGCTTAACTAGAATATAATATAACTATAATATAATATAATATAATCTATTTCATAATAATAATATCGTTCAAAATAAGGACTTGGTTTTTCATAATTATAAAATAATAAAGACATAATCTTGAGATACAAGTCGTTTTCTATGGAGGACCAGCTCTACCATATTTAAAAATACATACAGAAATAGATAAATGCTCAATAAATACAATTAATTGCCCCCCCAAAATACAATAAACAAATAAATGTAGCTAGAAATTAAATTATACAGTGCGACATAAATGTATAAACTCTTTTCATTATCTTCTTTATTTATTCACATTTGTAATAATTAGCTTATGTATTTATTGTCCGTTACAATCTTCAACTTTATTTAATAATTACTTATCTTTTAAGTATTTATTTATATTTGTATGCTTATTTATTTATTGAGCATCTATTTATTTCTGTATTTATTTTTAAATATGGTAGAGCTGGTCCTCCATAGTTTTGGGGTTTCTTTATTAGAGAAATTGTGTTCCAAACGGAGTATTGGGTTATTTCTACTCCAATATTTAGTTAATGCAGTTTTTTTTTCTACAGATTCTGCTTCAGGTAGTCTTAAGTCCCCCTCCCATCCAGTAGGTGGCGAAAATCATCCACGAAAAAATGTTTGACAACCACAATTTTAAATAAGAAGAAAAAAATGAAGATCTGACAACTGTACTCCAGACCACACCAATACGCATTTCCGTTCCACTGCCATATCAGATGGTTTGAAATCAGTGGAAGTAGTTTCACGCCGGATCCTGAAGTTCCAAGGACCGCAGACATGGCTGACAAGAAACCTTCAAAGTCTGATGCTCCGTTCGCCACAAGGATAGACCCAACTAAAGAGAGCCTTTCTCAGGAACAGATGCATTTTATCAGGCAGGTAGAGCTGGAGCAGTGGAAGAGGAGATCATCAAAACTCCGAACGCGGAACGTTGCCACGGGACTTGCTATAGGAGCGCTGGTTTTGGGCATTTGTATCCTTTACGTCAGCTGCAAGGTGAACTACGTAACGTTAGCTTAGCATGCTAATGGTGCTCTAAGTGCAAAATGTGTCAATAATGGCTGATATAACTTATTTATTCATAATTGGTCATATTTATATAAACTGTATGGACTAGTAAATGATTATTATTTGTTAATTTATAAATTTTAAAGGCTACTAACCTTTTTTGAAAATGAGCTAACTAACTTTGCAAACAAATGCTTTAGCTAGCTTCTAAAATTCTATTACTAAGTCTGGTGAAAAGCAACGTTTTATGTTTTTATTAACGAGACTAGGATGTTTTTGTTGAATTTCATCCAGTAGGCATTTAAAAACACATTAAATTTTGATTATAATGTAACTATATATTACTTATAGATGTGCAGTAAAATCCGGAAATTAAATTTAAAAACAAAAACAATACTTCAATGCCAGCTTAGGAAGAGCAGCAACTGGCAGCTATTAGCATGCAGAGACGTTGTGGTTAATATTACGTTTTTTAAATAAAATGTGGTTGAGCAAAATTATTTTAAATGTCATATTTATCAAGAACCAAATACATTTTAAGGGAAAGAGTCTGTTATTTTCCAGCTTCTGCTATCAGGAAGGTATTTGCTTTTATTTATTTGTGTTTTTTCCAAAATACTTTGTGAAATGAATTACTGGTAAAGTATTATTTTTCATCTTTATAAATGATTTTATACCGTTAAAGTAAATTAAGATCGACAACAGTAAAAGCACGAGTTAAACATGTTATTATGATCTTGACATATAAATGATCATACCTTTAAAATTTAAGGGTGTAACTAACAAATGTTTGCTTTCAATGGACCTTCAGCCAGCTGTCCTCCAGTGTGGAGCAACAGGTACAAGAGGGGTTGATGTTTTTTTTTTTTTTGTTGATCATGTCAAAAATAACAATTTGGAAAATGCACATAATCTTTGACATTCTACCAAAGTATTCACACCCCTTGAAGTTTTTCCGTTAAATATTGAAAGATAATGTACTTTATGGGGAGTTTATTTTGTAAAGCAGAAATACTAAAATATTGGAGGAGAGGGAAAAGTATGCATGGTTTGATAAACTATTTCTTACGAAAAGGATGCCCATACCAAGATACTGCCACTACCATGTTTTACCATTGCAGCTTGATCCCATCACCATGGTAAAAGATAGTACTGGTACTAACATCTGTAATAGTTTATCTCAAAGTTTCTTGATTCAGAATCAAAAAAAGTCGCCCTGAAAGATAAGGACATTTATAATTTGTAGATCTTTATATGCAAAATTAGTTTAGGAAAATATGTATATATTTTTCTTTAACCTCACAATTTTTTAACACATAAAATCCCATGGAAAAAAGTTTGACCGGGTTCCTGCGGGTCCTTAAAAAGTCTTAAAGGAATAGTACACCCAAAACATGATTAGCCTTCATTTTCTACTCACCCCTATGCTGAACAACACTCTGGAGTACTTTTTTGATATCTCAAATGCATCTGGAGATCTGGGAGGCTTCTTGCTGTCTGCTGACATTCAAATAATGGAGGTCTATGGCGCCCGAGACAGAAAGGTCCATTAAAAGTAAAAAAAAAACGTGTCAATATTCCTCCATACTGCTCGTCCAATGTATTCCAAGTGTCCTGAGTGGGTAGCATCCAGAATTTACTCGAAACAAAGTCATTTAGAATGTTTTTAGAGCATAAACAGTAGTGTATAGGATTTCCTAAAAGCGCGCACGTGCGCGATCACGACGCTACGGAAGCCGGCAGACCAAACCAGATGAAAGTGCGCATTCAGCTCGGCAAAGAACTCATGCTCTTCCTCAACACTGAAGTCCTCAGACATTTTTCTTTCGTTGTTTCTTTCTTTGCACAGGTAAACAGCACATTTCTTCTTCTACGCTTGCATTATCGGCAGAGCAGACGCTGAATGCGCACTTTCATCTGGTTTGGTCTGCCGGCTTCCGTAGCGTCGTGATCGCGCATGTGCGCGCTTTCAGGAAATCCTATACACTACTGTTTATGCTCTAAAAACATTCTAAATGACTTAGTTTCGAGTAACTTCTGGATGCTACCCACTCAGGACACTTGGAATACATTGGACGAGCAGTATGGAGGAATATTGACACGTTTTTTGTGGACTTTTATGGACCTTTCTGTCTCGGTCACCATAGACCTCCATTATTTGAATGTCAGCAGACAGCAAGAAGCCTCCCAGATCTCCAGATGCATTTGAGATATCAAAAAAGTACTCCAGAGTGTTGTTCAGCATGGGGGTGAGTAGAAAATGAAGGCTAATCATGTTTTGGGTGTACTATTCCTTTAATTGGTATTAAAATGTCTTAAATCAGTCTTTTGTAGGTCTTCATTTTTTAAACATCATAAATAGGATTATTTTCTATTATGATTTATTTTTGTAATCTAAATAAAACATTAGAATGTACTTTTTAATTTAAAAAAAATAATGGCTCGCAATTATTGGTTTTGTCCCGATAGCGGAACCAATAAAAGTGTTGAAGGTTTTTCTTGTGTTTCTTGTGAATTTGGTCTTAAATTTTTATTTCAAGTGGCTTTAAAAAGTCTTGAATTTAACTTGCCTTATGCTGTAGGAACCCTGGTTTGAATTTGTGCTTTGATCATAAAATATGGAAAAAATGTAAGTGATATATATATATATATATATATATATATTTTTTTACAAGGATTCATATTTCAGAATATTAGTGGATGTCTAGGATTTTCTAATTCAAACACCTGTTTCCCCTTAAGTCCCATTTATCTCATACCAGCAGATCAGCTCGTTCCTGTGTTACGTAATCTTTGGTTTCCTCCTCCCGGTATTCTCCTTGACCCGTTGCTCTTAAACCAGATGGCTACACGTTCTTCTCAGTCTCCCAGGAGCGGATCATGGACGAGATCGATGAAGAGGCCAAGCGTGCCAGACTGCAGGGACCAAAGACTGGAGCCAACTGAGGCGAGAAGGCTGCCAGCCTCTCTTTGGACTCTTTGTTCTGTCCTGCACTTACACCAGGAGAGGACAGTTGATACCACTGAGTCATATTCCATGCCTGGCTGCTGTTGTTTTTTTTTATTATTTCAGACAGGACTATTTGTCTTGATGATTGGTATTAAAGGGTGGTTGTTTTGATTTGTCTTGAGCTCTTTTGAGCTGCTTTTCAGTGGAACAGATTAATCCACTGATCTCAGTGTGGCCTTTCGATGCTGCATGGAAAGCCTCGATGGCATATGTCCAGCTCTGATCATGTAATTACACTATCTTATGGAAAAACAACAGAAGAGGCTGTTAAAGGTAAAACAACAGTGGCCTTGAAGGAAAAAAGGATGCTAGTGACACTGAAAAGACATGAATCAGCGTGATAAAATGTTATTTATGTTGATAAAATGTTTGTACTGAACAAATCTAATGTACTAGACCCAAAATAATAAATGTAAAAGTCATCCTTGTTTGTATTTATGTAAACACGACAAAAGAGGCAAAGTATTTACAATGGTGTTTATTTTATTCACAATTTATTCATATATGGAATCTTATCTAGAATAAAAGTATAAAGTAAGACATTGTTAGAGGGAAGGCACAGATTCAGCTTGGCAGGACAGCAGCTTTAGAAAGCAATCTGATTTTATATATTTACATTCAACATGAAGTCGCAGGAGTTTGTCCGCCAGAAATCCTGCGTAGAAGGCAACAGCGAGAGATTCACAGTCGGTAGGAAAGTCCGAATCCAAGCGGGAAAGATGGACGGTCAAGAGTCTTTAGTGTACCTCTTAAAACGACAGAATTAAAACGGAATTTGTTAAAGTGCACAAGGTGCTTGATCTGCAAAATAATACACAGAAGTGCATCTGATACGGTGATATGATTGAAACGTTTATTTCAGTAATTCAGTTTTAAAACGTAAAACTCAAGTCGTTAAAGAAAGTCGGATTCTTTTGACCTACATAAGACTAAACTGAGAAGAATATAAATATATTAGTGCGAAAAGAACCTCAGACTTGTAGAGGATTGGGAAGCCAATAAAGTTTAGTGAATGTACTGCAGAGCACATGCATACTTTTTATGACACTAGACTCGATTTTAAATGGTCTTTAAAAATAGAGATTTCAGGAAAAACATTTGTTTCCTTTATCTCTGTGAGAAATTAACCTGTAGAGTTTTACTTTTTAAATCGAATCACTAAAATAAATAGATTTTAATATCATTTATATCAATACACATTTGATTATTTATTTTTTTGTTTGTTTTCAGCTCAAAAAGGACTTAAGGTACCAGAAATATTCTGTTTACTTTTTAGCTTGTAAACTTAATCTATAATAAATGCATTCAGCTATATACACATTTACAGTCAACAGGAAAGCCAGTAGTTCAGGAACTTTTTTTTTCAAATACTCTGACGCTCGCTCTATACCAGCTTTCTCATTTGCTTGTACTTTAGAAACATTTGCACAAGTGTCACATTTTCATGGCGTCCCAAAAGAAAAGTTGTTTTCTTATTAATGGTACCGAGTTGAAGAAGCTACTTTGCAGCTAGTGTTTGATTTAATCCAAGGAAGGAAATAACCGCTGCCCTGCTGAATGAGAATAAGTTCACCGTTCATTCAGCAGATGGAGCGAGTTCGTTATAAAGTACAGCATCATTTCCGTCAGCATCACATCAGACAAGCAGGAAATCATTTTCTGTTATTCTGGGTCAGCCTCATGGTAAATGCACCGCCTTGGCGACACAAGGTACCGTCGCTTGACGCCGTCGTTGCATTGTTATGATTCACTGTGGAGGATTTACGTCGGATCCGTGCGGGACGACGCTTCGACTCCGGCTTCATCAGTAACCGCTTCTGTACATGTGAGGTAAAGGAGCAGCCGGGCGGAGCTGCACAGTCGCTGATCAGGGAGGGGCAGTTAAATGGGTGGTGCGCCAGCGAAACCGTCTGAAGGGTTTTTCGGCCTCTTGCAGTCGCTTCAGATGAGGTAGTCTGGATTTCTTGTCCTTGGGTTCTTACTGGAAACAGGAAATGAGGAAAAACATGAAAAACGGAAACAAAGGAAGCTGGTAAAGTTTAGATGATCAGTTTACTCACCATTCTACTGATGTCAGTAGCAAAAGTTACGCCTTTACTGAGTTTATCCTGCGAACCGCTGCTGCTGCCTCCAAGAGAGTTTCTCCTGATGATACCTGGTTAAAAAAATGCTTTCCATTAAATCAACAATTTAATTTAGTTTATTTCTATAGCGCCAATTCACAACCCTCATCTCAAGACACTTTACAGTTCGCACGATCATCTAAGGAAAACCAGATGATTGCATCGACTCATTGACTTGAATGTAATCCCTCACACTAAGCATGCTTGTAACGACAGTGGAGAGGAAAAACTCCACTATTCGACAGTAAAATGCGTATTAGAAATGCATTTTACTGTCAAATACGGCTTTAGGAGGGGGATAATCTCAGCTACCTTGGATAGGCAGAATGTCGACGCGCTGCAGACTGTTCCTGCGGGACGAAGGGAAACCGCTGCCTTTGGAGAGGCGGCGCTGGCGGCTGGAAAGCATGGCTGCTGGACAGACGATGCCTGGAGGAGGAACCTTCCCCATCCTCGCATACAGTTCCTCGATTTCCCTCTTCTGTTCAGCCTCTAAAGCCTGAACCTCTGAAAGGTGTCTGCAAATAAAAAATATATAACAAGTGAACACTGATATTTTTTTGGAGCAACTGAGCGAGGGAATGCATAAAAATCTTTAAAGCTCCGAACTGTTCCAGAAATGTTAAAAATAGAGGGACAAAAGTGACACAGTTTTGATTTCTTTTAGCAATAACAAGTAAAGCTATTCTTCTTGGAGTGCTTCAGTAAAATAATTTAAAATAAATGCTTTACCCATTAAGTCAACATGCGTCATACAAATTGTAATGAGGCTCATTTAGAAGTTATTGCTCCAGTGAAACGGTTATCTGGGTGTTTTGGGAATCAGACCTTGAGGGACAGATTTTGTTTTTAACAAAGCAGAAATTGTTTTTTTTTTTTTTTTGCATCATTTGAGGTATGAATAATGTTTTCATAATGTGAGAAAACTCACTCAGCAGTGCAGATTTTAAAAGATAGAAAAGCGAATATTGATTTTCATAAAAGTGAGATAACGTTTTTAAGATATAAAATTTTTTAAGGCGCAGAAAAATTTGAGTTTTCTTCCAAAAATCGAAATCAGGATTCTATTTTTCAAATAACTGCTTAATCGTTTCCAGAACATCATTTTAGCTGCAGAGGCTACCTGCATACGCTGGTAATATCTTAATCTCAAAAGTAGTTGAAAATGCAGCACACATAACTTCTATGAAGTTATTTACACTCTGATAAAAACATTTTGTTTAGCTGTTTATAACATCTTAAATCAAACGTTAAATTCATTTTTCTCCTTTTACTAAGATTGATATTTTCTGCTGTGTAAATCTGAGATGAAAGATCATTTACTTTTCTCTGAGTTCCTGAAGTTCCTCCATCATTTCCTCGTCCTCGCTGTCAGAGTCGTCGCTGCTCAGGTAGGGGGCGCTGCGGTTGTAAGTGGTCAGCCACAGGTTGTGAAGGGCGTTGCTGTACTGGGGGCTGCCGGCCGCTCCGTCCCACAGCCTCCCCTCCATCTCAGCGGCCGTCACCGAGAGCCCGCTGTCTGCAGATGTCCCCATCAAGCTGAGGCTGCAAGTCCTCCTCCGACCCCTCTTCCTCACCCTCGATCGCTCCCCTAAAATCTCCCTCTCCTCCTCCTCATCTTCGACTTCTTCATCTTCTCTGTTACGATGCTGATGCTGACTTACAGCCCATCCTGCTGGCCGGTCCACCTTCTGGACGACCCCTTTAGGGTCTCTGTGGGGATGAGGCTGAGGGGGGGACATGGTGAGGGAGGTGTTAAGGCTGGACTCGGACCCCCCCACCTCCTCTGTGCTGCTCTCTGACTGGGTGTTGCTGTTGATGGTTGGCTGTGGTGCAGGTGGTGCTGGGTTTGCTGGGTCAGAGGAGTCCACAACGTCAACGCTGGGCGTCACCTGGAACCTTCCAACCCTCACTGGTGCTGACTTGACTTCTGTGATTGAACAGGACATAAAAAAGGGTTAAAACATTTCTGAGGATCCTGATACCCAAAGATGATGTGCCATTAAATGTAGTGCCTACAAGGATATTTAAATTTCTCTAAGCTACACCATACAGTGAAAATTTGAATCCTGAAATTTCATAGTTTTTAAAATTTCATAATCCATAAATATATGGAGTGAATTTTGTTCCATTATTGTTGCAAACAAACAGCACACTTTGTTTTATATTTAATTTCTCCAAATATTTTTAAATTAGCATTTTTTCTAAATATATTTTTACATATTTTATATTTGAATTTTTTTTTTTATTATTTTCTAAATTTCCATTTTTAAGATTTAGTTTTTTACAAGCTGCATTCTTTTCAAAGTGTGTTTTACCGATTTTCCACTTCTGGTGGCAGACTTCTCTGCAGGGTGGGGAAGAAAAATACATTTCTATTGTTCTGTTGGATATTAGCTATGACATTGTATTAATAAATGTGAGTTAAAAGCTTATATTGGCCTTGAAGTAAAGAGAATAGGACCTGATATTTGAAAATAATGCAATTTGTAAATCTCTATCTGAAAAACAGAAATAGAAAAGACACTAAAAAATATAAAACATTAAAAAAAAACAACAACAGAAAAGTCACAGTTACCATAAACCTTTTTCTTAACATTTTTCAAAGTTTCATTTCTGGATTGTATTTTTTTAATTTTTTTATTTACAAAATGTGTTCTTTGCTTTAAACAATTGTGGAACAAATTTCACTCCATACAATTCCTGAAACAAGACAACGCTGAAGGCAAACTGATTTAAAAACTTTAATTCCCACCCCCTGGATTTCTGTGCCATCTGGAGCAGCTTCAATCAGCTCGATTATAAAATCAGTAACAGACTCCTCAAATCTGCACCACATGTTAAAACACGTAACCGTTTTTGCAAAGAAGAATAAGCAGAGCATTTAGCAGAATGTTGATGAGCGAAGCTGTTGGAAATGAAGGTGGTTTAACTAAATATGGACTCAGTGGTGAATCCATCTTGGAGCGGTTCTGAATTTCCCTGGAGGCAGAGCTATTGCTGCTATTATCTAGTGTCGCTCCTTTCCTCATGAGGGATGAAACCTACAGAGCTGCAAATAATTATGTTCTTTTTGGGGCCTTCGAAGCAGAAAAAGGTGTTCCTGATGCCATGTTCCTATGTTGATATCCTGGACAAAACCACTGCTGTTGTTAACTAAGTGGAGATAAGAAAAGAAATTAGGCTCCAATGCTTCCAAAATTAACAGTGCTTCCTTCTGTTGATTAATTAGTTGGTAACAGTTTCTGTATCTTTCATTACACTGCAAAAACAATCTGAAATTAAGTAAAAAATTCTTAAATCAAGTGTATTCACCCATATTTTAGCAGATAAATAAGATAGTTTGCCAATAGGATGAGTATTTTTACACTTAAAATAAGTTAATTAGATAATATGCACTTGAAATAAGACAATACAATTGATTTTTCTTATTTCAAATGTAAATTGTCTTGTTCCATTGGCAAAGTGTCTCATTTATCTCCTCAAATCAGGATAAAATGCACTTATTTGAAGAAAAAATGACTTATTTAGATTTACATTTTTTGCAGTGTATTCTGTTCTTTCTATCTCATTCAAGTACAAAGTTTCCCAACAGGGGGTACTCGTACCTCCAGTGGCCCACAAGTGTATTACTAGGGGTACATGAAAATATTTTATTTTTCAGGTGATAAAATAAAATAGGGCTGGGATATGTTCTTAAAACAATAAAAAAATAAAATAACAAGCATCTTTCAACCAAAAAGTATTTTTTTTTACATGTCTGAGTTCACCTTTAGATAAGTTCACCCTAATCAAAACTAAACAGAGGAACAGACGGGATGTAGATAACAGTTATTAGCTGTTTTTCACACTGATCAATCTGAGCTAATCAAGCAGCTCATGTTTTGATGATAACAAATTAAAGCTAATTAAGTAAGTCTGATTTTTGTTCTTTATTTTGTTCCCAATTCATCAAATTTAAATCTGACCGTAAAGGAGTTACTCAGAGGAGCTCCAGTTTTATAAATACAGGTTTATAATATGATTTTATTTTGTATTTATTTTGATTCCATACTAAATTCCAGGCAACATTTTTATTATGTTTTTTTTATTTGAGATGGAAATAATGAAATGATGAGAATTAAATGCTTAAATTAAAAGATTAAGTAAAATAATCTTTATTTTGTTTTCAGTTATTGTATGTTCCACTTTTAGGCAGCCGTCCATACTTTTGATTAAGAGGGGTACAAAAAAATACCCAAGGTAAAAAAAGTCAAAAAAGGTTAAAAAACACTGTTCTAGACTCTCAATGTGTTATATATATATATAAAAAAATCCTGCCTTTGTTTGCTGGACTCTTCCTCCCGTTTAAAGGGAAAGGTTTCTCTCCACTGTTGCCATGTTCTTTCCCAGGATGTACAATCATTTCACTGCATTTTATAATAACTATCTTGCATTTATAAGCATTTAACCCAAACCAGCTTTACCCCTGGATTTTATTGGAATTTATTTTCCACCACAGGAAACAATTAATTTCAGCTAAAAAGGTTATAATATAAACAAAGATACTCTGGTTGAATTCACCCTGAATGATGAGCGACAAAAAGCCAAACTGATCATGATGTAATGGAGTAATGAGTGTCTGTTGGATAATATATCTTCTGTTATGCAACCATAAGTGCTTCAACAGAAAGAACCTGGACTTGCTTTTGATTCTTTGTTTTCTTTTTTTACCTCTCAAGTGAAAATCTTTTAACTAACTGAATGCAAGTTTAAACTAATAAAATTTTCATGGAGAATCCACATATTTAAAGTCTAAAGAAGTCTAATTTTCTGGGCCATAAAGACAAACTGACTCAATGCACAGAAATCTTTAAGCTGCTTAAATAACATAAATATTTTTAAACATTTTGTGATTTTATGTGAATTAATGATCAAGAACCATTTAAGGAAGAAAAGATCAGATGGTCAGTTCACGTCCTTTTCTGAATTATTGCCAAATAATTACTTTATTACTGATAATTATGTCTGTTTTATGTGATCAAGTGGGGATCTGTCAGACACCAGCCCCCCCTGCAGGTCAAAGCAGGCAGAGGGTGGATGGATGTGCTTTCCATGATCTCATAACTATAAACTAAAGATTCCTCAAATATTTCATCACTTCCATGTCTTGCAACTGACATCACGTCTCTATAAGTTTTGGATACTTTTGTTTCACTTTTGCTAGTCCACGGCCGCCTACATCAATAATTTTTAGACCCATTAATTGATATCAGTACAGATCCATCTCCCTAGGGCGAGTCTTTATCAGCTTTGCTCATTTAGAAACTAATATATTTTCCCATTTCTTTCAGAAAGGAAGATGTTTGAAAATCAATTTTCACATCTTGCCACAGATCCTCCGTTGCATTCAGTTACAGACTTTGACGGAGCCGTTTTAACGCATGGATTTCTTTTGATCCGTTCCACTGAAGTTCTTGCCTCATGTTTGATGTGACTGTCCTGCATAAATGTGAACCTCCACTCCAGTCAAGCCCTTTGGAGCCTTTAAGAGGTTTTACTTTAACCTAGCATTTAGCTCTATCCATGTTCCAATCACATCTAAACAGTTTCTCTGCCCCTGTTGAATGAAAACAATCCCACAGCATGATGCTGCCATCACCATATGTCACAACGGAGAATGGTTGTTCCCCACTGGAAAAATGATCTAGAAATAAGTAAAAATGTAGTAAATTAAGTGTATTTACCATTAATTTGAGAAGGTAAATGCTATATTTTGCCAATGGAATGAGTATTTTTACTCTTAAAATATGATAATTAGATAATATGAACTTGAAATAAGACAATGCAATTGTGTTTTCTTATTTTAAATATAAATTGTCTTGTTCCATTGGTAAAATGCATCTTTTTCCTCCCCAATACAAGAACAAATGCACTTATTTTAAGAAAAAATGACTTTTTTAGATTTGGATTTTTTTCCAGTGCCTACACTGCAAAAAGCGATCTAGAAATAAGTAAAAAAAAATCTTTAAATTAGTTGTATTTACCCTTATTTTAAGTAGCTACATAAGATGATTTACAAAATAACAATTTTCACTCTTAAAATAAGATAATTAGATAATATGAACTTGAAATAAGACAATGTAATTATTTTTCTTATTACAAATGTAAACTGTCTTGTTCCATTGGCATAATGTCTTAATTGCCTCCTCAATTCAAGAAAAAGTTACTTATTTTAAGAAAGAAATACTTATATTTCACATTTTTGCAGTGTTATGCACTGGAAAAATGATCTAGAAATAAGGAAAAATTTCTCAAATTAAGTGTATTTATCCTTAATTTAAGTAGGTAAATGAGATGGTTTGCCAATAGAATGAGTATTTTTACTCTTAAAATAATATAATTAGAAAATATACACTTGAAATAAGACAATGCAATTGTGTTTTCTTATTTTAAGTGTAAATTGTGTTGTTCCATTGGCAAAAAGTCTCTTTTACCTCCTTAATCCAAGAAAAATTCACTTATTTTAAGAAAAACTGATTTAGATTTTTCCAATGTGAGGTCTAGCCTCTATTTGAACTCATTAATTTTTCATTCATCTCATGTTAGCTACCTTTTTCTTGTTGCAAACTATAAACAGGACTTCTGACTCTTTGGCAAGAGCTTTCTTCTTCCTACTCATCCATAATGGATGGATTTTATGGAGTGAACAACAAATCAGCCATGTAGACAGATTTGTTTCTTTTTTTCCCCACCTGAGCTGTGAATAACTGCAGCTCCTCCTTTGCTGCTTCTTTATATAATGCTTTTGTTGCCTGTCTGCTTTGTTCCTTGCGGTTCAAAAAAACATTTTGGAAGATTAAATTGCACAAAGGCGGAGTCTTTTTACTTGTTGGCTGACTTCTGAACGTATACAACTTTGTTTCGGTTTATCACATAAGTCCACTATAAAATAAATTGTAATACAAACTGGAAAAGTTAAAGGGGTGAGATAAATTTCTCAAGATAAAATATTTCATCCTGCAGCCGTAGAAGTTTGGGTAACATTTATGAAAAACTAAACTTTTACTGTACGCTGTCACCCACGGTAAAACAATCTGTGCTCACATCTGCACACCATTAGAGACTTTGAAGTTCTGCAGTGGCGCAGTTTACCCACTGTGGGTCCTTCTTACAGTAAATGCACAAAGTGTCTGTATTTGTGCCCTGTAAAACAGAGGGGCTCTGTTGACTGTGGGATTCTGGGGAGGGTATAAATACTGACAGGTGTGGACGTGGGAGGAGAGGCCTGTAACGAGCCGAGCTGTTGACCGATTGGTCCCCGTCGGTGGGTCGGGCAGCCATCACACGTACGCCTGTGTTCATATCAAATGGAACATTACATCCAGACTCACGATTACGCAATAGCTCCTAATAACGTCCACAGAGAGACACAAAAGGGACTGAAAACAGCAGCAGAGTGTCTATTAAAGACACAGCAAGCCTTTTTTTTTCTTTAACTAATATATGATGTGTTAAAATGTAAGAAAGGTGATAAATGAGTAGGCTAGATTTGTTTATTTATCTATGAGTGTTGGTTTATTTGGGGTGTAAACACAACGATCTTTCAGGACTTCATGTTCCAGGTCTCTGAGTCTTTGGTGAAAAGAAACTTATTTCAGGTGTTTATGATGCAGAGATCTGTTCTAGCAACATGAAAACGTACACGGAAACTCTTACCACATTCAGTGGAAGAGGCTTTGGTCTTCGGGCTGCTGGTGCTGGCTGCAGGTCCGGCTGGGTGGAACTGATCACCGGAGGAAACCTGAAGAGACAAACCCAACCGATTTAAACAAATTATCACAACTTAAAAACGAAAATCATTTTTGTTGGTTTGTTTACTTACTGATCATGTGAAATTAATATTTTAGTAAAAATCAAACACCTCTTTTAACTGGTATCAGCATGTCCAGCCTGTAAATAAGTTTTACTAATTGTGTGGCAGCTCTCTGATTTAGTTAATCTTTGACCTACTGGTTCGTGTTTTATTTTATTTTATTTTGTAGATTTCAAAATATCAAATTCTGCCATCTCACAAAATAGATTTTTTTAAACAAGATAATTAGTAATAATTAATAATCAGTTTTCTATAATTAATAAGTTAATTCTCTCGTTTAAGAAAAGAAAAACCTACAATGGTGACAAATGACTTGAATGTAAACTAAAGGAATAATAAATAAAACTTGAAAATGAGCAAGTCAGAAAAAAAAAAAAAAGGGCCAGGACAAAACTGTCTGTTTGTTTGAGCCAAAGTGGACTTAATGGGAGACTATAAAGGAGGACGGCATTTTTGAAAATAATTCACAAAAACGCCAGACTGGAATTTACCGAAAAACTTGTTGACAAGCTAAAATGCTCCAGGGAGAATGCCCTTTTGACAGATGAGACAAAATAATTTAACTTTTTTCCCAGGAACATCAGCTCATTCACAGAAGGAAAAATGAAGCATATCAAGAAAAGAACCACGCCCCTACTGTGAAGCATGCAAGAGGCTCAGTTATGCTCTGGGGCTGCTTTGCTTCACAGGCTGAAATATTTAGGAACCTCAGCACTAGAGCCGTCCTCAGGTATCACTTTCCTTCTCCTTTTCAGGAATCGACCAGCCTTCAAACATCTGACTTCAATAAATGAGTGATTACCAGGCCTCTGACCCCTTGGTCGTTGCTGAGGCGGGAATGTAATCATTGTTGCAGGTGTGCTGCAGCAGAGACACACCCAAAACATCCAGGATAGCAGGTCCCTGACTGATTGTGAAAACCACTAGAAAATACGTTTTCCTTTCATATGGTTTCTAAAAATGTTTTGCTTTCTTTGACTTCTTAGATATAAATAAACAGAGAACTTTGAATCTTTTCTATTCTCGTCTATTATCAGTGAGACTTGGCAGCACTCATACCCCACTCTCATTGGCCGAAAAAAAAACATTTAAAAACGGGAACAGTCAGCTTTTAGTGGCAGTGGGAAGAGCTCACTGACGCATGTCTAAACGGTTCAAACGACTCAGAAAGCGACCGCTGTTAAAATCGCCTCGGCTCTGATGGGCATGCTACAGGAAAACCAGACGTGGGTTGACATGCCAATTTACGTGACACCATTGAACGCAACGTACAGATTACAACACACTGCGCTTCTTGTCTAACATAAAAAAACAACAGTTTACATTCGATAAACATGGAGCAGATGAAAGAGTGAAACAATAGAACACACCAACTACGCCCTGACTACATCCTTGCTTCCTTACATGTTGCCCTCCATTGTTTACATCCCTGATTTCTGTCGCACTGATAACATCATCAATGCAGCTTACTAGCGAGGGGTTAGACCCAGCTTTTATTGCCAGTGGGAAGGCAGACAACTGCAGCCAAGCGATTGATAGCAGGTCGACCCATGTTTGAAAAACACTCGTTAACCTGCTTCTTTCAGTGGGAAAGAGGCTTTTACAGATGCTATGCAGCTTTCAAAGATCAGAAAATGACTTGAAAATGTTTCTGACCACAAAATGGTTTCTGACCAACCCAGCAACCAATCAGGGCTGATCAAGATGGGTTTGATGCATTCCTGATAAAACAGAAGTCGGAATACTTAGCATCACAGTTTATTGTGTCACTTGGCCACAGAGCAGCTGTATTGTAACATAAACTCACATTGTTCTCTGGGCTGACTGGTGGTGATGGGCGAGCGTCCGATGAAGACGTCGATGAGGATACTTCTGTTCTAGCTTGAAGCTGGGCTGGAGCCTGGGCTGAGTGGGGCGTCACGTTGCCATCCTCTCTGTGTGGAATTGGGGAACCGGTTGGTCGGATCTGTTGCATGGTCTCCAGAGTGGAATGTGGAGGAGTGGAAGCTGGAGATGCAGGATGCTGCCACTGTGGATGGCTGTTCTGGTAAAATCCAAGCCCATCCATCTGAGGAGCTTGCTCTTGGCTGTGGTAGATGTTTTGAGCTGGGATACCCACTGAAGGGTATGGGGCATCCATCGGTGGTGGAGACTGGTAATGGTGGGGGTAGACCGATGGGTAACCTGAGGGAGGGGCCATGGGTCCTTGCAGGTGGGGGTGGAAGCCTGGATAAGAGGGCATTCCCTGATTAGGCATGTTCTGAGGGGGAATGAAAGAATGAGCCATACTCATGGCCATGGAGATGACATTAGCTAATGAGAATAACGGCTGAGAGTGGGCAGGCCACATATTGGGAGGCTGTGGTCCAGGAGGGGACAACATGACGTTTTCCATTGACGGACTTGGGGTATCATTCACTGGACTCGGAGAGCTGGGTGTTGGAGAGGGAATAGAAGAGAAGGTAGGGTTACTGGCCACACGGGTGAGGGGAGGATGCTGCCCTGCTGGCTTCGGAGACCCTGGAGATCCCGGGTATGTGAACGGAAAGTGAGTTTGGCCCATGTAGGGTAAATGGTAGTGCTGCTGGTTGGACACGAGAGATGACGGGCGTTGGTGCTGATGATGGTGGAGAGGAGACCCTAAAGGAGGAGACAACAGCTTTAATTACTGTGATGCAACGTGAACTTTGTTCAAACTTAAGAAAAGCTAATGCCTATCATTTAACTCATGTATTGTAGCTTATCACCTAAAGAGCAACATGTCAAGGTTATTTTATTCTATTTGACTTTCTCTTTGTTGCAAAATCCTTATTCATAAAGTTTTTATTTAGCCTCCTGTAAAAAGCCTCTGATGACATCACAAAAGGCAAAATGTTATCAGCAGACGAACCTTAATGAGCCCACCTCTGGCACTAATCCAGATCCTGACCAAACAGAAAGTCAATTCACAGCAGTTTACATATTTATTTTAGGGTATAATCATCCCAGTGTGTTTTACAAGATCTGGGTTTTTATCTATCAAACATAACAAAAGTGTATGTTAGCCAAAAAACCCAAAATGGAACAGACCAAATAGAAAACTGATATATCAGCCAACATGTATCCATTAATGTTTTATTGAAAGCACCGCATGAATGCCACTGTGTATTTAAATAAGCCAGATGATCAATATTATTCATGGTTACCATGGAAACGGCAGGGAAGAAAGTGCAGTTTACCAGAGGTGTGTTGGTGAGTGAGGTGGAGAATCGGATAAATATGTTTGGTAGCTACAGTAGTGGTGGTGTGACAAATAAAAGAAAGTATTATGCATGGAAACAGAGTCTGATGTTTGGACTGCTCATATTAACAAGAACAGGCAGGCAGAATTACAATAACCTCTGGCTGAGATATCTCTACTTTATGGATCATTTCACGGAATATTTTGTTCCAAAAAGTGGCTTCAAGTTTTAACCTCTTAACATCCACTTCATTTTGGGCAATCGTTACCTATTTTGCATACCCAAATGGAAAAGCAAATAACTTAGGAAGTGTAAGCCCAAATTACATGTGCAGACCACAGACCAACCTGCATCAGTTCAAACATGACTCAAAGTTGTTGTTTTTTATTCTCAGAAACGATAGGTCTTTTTTGAACAGCAGAAAATGTAGATTTTATTGTATTATATTTGTTCTAAATCACGTTAACCACAAATGCAGAAGATTTCAGGCCTCTAGCTACAACAGTTCCAGAGCTGTGGGGCAGCTTGGAGCTGAGCGCAATGGCTCCACCTGCTGGTAAAAATGTTACCGGTGGAATTTAAATGCATTCTGAATTATTACCCCCACCTTAGGTTTTAAGAGGTGAATTATCTAACTACTGATTACATCAAAACATCTGCAGAAGAATTTGCACTGGTAAGAGCCATTCTCAAAGAATCCAAGAGTGGTTAACAGTTGTAATTGATAAAGAAAAAAAAAACACTTGAAAATCTGGGAAAGAAACACAACCATCTATAAGACATAATATCAGCAAAACTGATAGCCTCGTGAGACCATCCTGATCTCGCGAGCTTTCAAGGTTTCACTCGCAGATCAGTCTGGCTACTTTCCGTTAAAGAAAATTTGGAGCCGTTCACCAAACGAACGTCCAATCAGCGTTGGCTTTGAGGCGTTGAGACGCAACGAGATGCGCGACAGTTCACTCTAAAGAACATGGCGGCTTCAGCCGATAAAACTAGCGTTAGCGTGGCTATCGAGCAAGTTTTATCGGAATTACTGAGTATTTCTTCACTGAAAGAAGAGCAAAACACTGCTCTGGAGGGTTTTCTCAGGGGAAAATATGTTTTTGCTCTTCTCCTGACTTGTTTCGGCAAGAGTAGCCTGGCTTGTGGTTGTGTTTTCGTCGTCGCTCTGTTAGTACGTCATATGCTTCGTTGATCTGATTGGTTTATATGGCCCGTCTATCACCAACATAGGCCAATCAGCTAAACAGTATTTTCGCCCCTTCCCAAAATTACTTCAACGGAAGGTTTCCAGATGGATATGCGGAGCAAATCCATCTGGCGGAGTCAGGTTACAAAACTGCTGCCATTTCAGCTAAACAAGCTCACTTTAGATTTATATTTTCCTTGATATTTTGGATCATTAATAAACTGAATGCAGCCATATCTAACATGTCAGTTGTTTATACATATAATTTATTAATATATTTTACAAATACAATGACTACAGATTGTTTTTAGTTGTATTTACTTATGTTTATATAGCACGGTTCACCCAGCTACCCTCATGATTGTCCAGGTAGCTAAATGTTGCTGATCCCTGAAAACGCGTTATCTGCCATCTGCTGGCATCAAGCAGTACAGCAAAAAAAAAAAAAAAAGCGAAAACAGCAACTGGAAACAAGACCTCATTAACAGAAACTACAAAGATTCTCTTTAAAAATGCAGTTAGTTTTAATTAGTTTTGTAAACTCTTATTACAGATTCAGTTAGATTTCTTTATTTTTTTGCAAGGCTTTATTTCTACTTTTATTTTAGTTAACACATTTTTTTCTAACTCTAGTTTTTGCCATTTTGTTAGTTTTAGTTAAATATAAGGATGATACAGAGCAAGTTTGTTTAAGATCACAACATTTACATGGAAGTAAATTCTCATAAACAAGCTTTATAAATGAGATCCTTAAACATTTTTTTTGTTCTTCAGTCATAGATCAGTTGATCTCTTAATTTAATTTTCTCTGTTAGGATCAGCTACTTTACCCTTGAAATATATTCTCCACCTTTACATCAGTCAGAGCTCTTTAACAGTGGCTTCATGGTGAGTTACTTAATTTGTTTCTGTTTTCACTGGTTGTCAGAGATACTTCAGCCATGTATGTTCATTTCTTCAACAGTTAATGTTAACTCATCTTATCTTTTAAATGTATTTGATTTTTTCTTCCTGTCTGCTGTGTGCTTTTGGCTCCATTTAATCAATTTTCAACCGCAGAATGTAAACTGAAAACAAACAGATGAGAAAATACAAACAGGAGTAAAGAGATTTGATCCAGTTAAAGTTCAGGGAGGTGATGATGATGATGATGATGATTGTCATGGTCTGCTTAGATCCATCATCCAGAGAAATCAAACAAAAATAAAACTAAATTGCTTCCAGATCCATGTTGAAATTTGTCTTTTATCTACCAAGATGTTAACTAAAACCTGCAGATCTGTTGACCTTTTTCGCCTATTGTGATGTCATCGAGCCAGACACTATAAATGAAGGATTTTATAAATTTGTGCTGTGCTTTTTTTAAAAATGTCTGTATGAATTTGTAAGGGAAAAAATAAACAACCGGAGTAGTTAGTTTAGGTTGTGCACCAAAATAAGTTGTTGTGGAAAATTTGATTAATAGAGAAAAGGCTTCTGTCATTGTATAGTTCCTACATCTTTTCTGTATTACAGAAAGGGTTTCCATGCCAAACAAAGACTTTTTGTTTAAAGCAGCATCTGACTGTAATTGCATTTATAATCCAGAACATTTGCACATTAGGTTAGCAGGGCTGTGAGGGGATTGAGCATCAGCGGAGCCACTGAGGCTTTCACGTTTCAACAGGAAGGAAAACGTGCGTCTGTGTGAGTGTGTCTGCGTCCACACAACTGTTTGGGTTTGATTAAAAAAGTCAGAATCTCTAAATCATTCCCTGAGGAATGGTTTAGTGTCTCAACAATGGCTGCACAGTCACAAACCACAGCTCTTCTTGCTGATGATGCAAACCAGCCTCTGCTTTTTCCACGCTGACGGAAACATGAGTTAGGCAGCACTTTGTAAATGGTGGCGGGTGGCCATAAAGCATTGCGAAAGCCGCCATGCAAGCTGACATCCAGCAGGGGAAGGACACGGGACATGAGGAGATGAGGATTGTCTGAGGCTGCAGAGCCAAATGCAGGATGTTTGCTGTCTAACTTCAAATGTCGCTGCTCCTGTGAGGAACAGGGAGAACTTGGGAGGGAAAGAACTTTCTTGGAAATTCAGCCGCAGTTTGTGCTGGCAAACAGATGTTGCTGACTATCACAACACGGCAGAAACCTCATGCTTTACAGCCACGGCATTCACAGCTCCCTGAAAGCCAGAAAGCTCCCTTCAGGTGAGGTAATTACCCAAGAGGCCGAGCTGCAAGGCAGACACAGACCGAGTCTTTGAGGTGCGCCGATGGCGGATGGCGCCACTAGGATGTCTGAACAATACTAAGAAATGGGTTGGGGGGGTGGTTATGTATTGGGTGAGCTGAGCTTTGACTTTTCCGTTGCCAGTACACCATTACAGTTTTTCAGCAACAGTAAACAATGATGGGTTTCTTTAGGTGGGGACCAGAGGGAGGGCTGCAGGGCTGTTTACCTGGGGTGTTGTGGAAAGACTGTGAGCGTATAAGAGGTCGCCCAGGTGAAGTAATGTCTGAACTCAGGACATCGCCATTAGGACAAGGGGGAGAGCCACGCACCCCTACGCTGGGGCAAGCCACACTGTACTCTACAACAAGACACACATGCATGAGAAGACTTCAGGTCACACAGAACTACACACTCACACAAGACAATCATGCATGGTGAAAAAAAAAATGCAGAGGGTTAATATGACAGTTTGAGAGAAAGAAGCACAGTTAATGAGTTATTTTAAAAGTTTAAACAGCCGGAAAGAGGTGTTAAAGGGGTTCCTCTCCAATGGTGGATTTGGTTTATAAAACAGACAAGACTTACCGGGCAGCGAAGAGGAGGAGTGTGTTCGAGGCATAAAGTGACTGTGCAGATTAGGCTGTAAGACATGTAACCAAAGACAATCAGTCAGGAAACATTCAGTGGAACAAATAAAATGTTCTTTTTGTTAGGCAAGTATATCAGACATGCACTGATGTGCAGTGATACAGAGGCACCCTTAAATACTTGATGTATTAAAATTAGAATATTAGCAAAAAGTTGCTCCATTTAGAATCTGAATTTAAAAAAGCAATACCATAAATGGCTTTAATACACAAAAAGTCACAGATTTCAAGTCTTTATTTCTCTAAAAATCTGATGAATACTAATCATAGTTAATGAGAGGTTTAGATTCCGAGCAAATTTCTTTCTCCCATAAAACAATTCGAAGGATTTTTGTTCTGGAAATGTTGAGCCTCTAAAATGTTCATATATTTTAGAGTATTTGCATTAAGCTTCTTTATCAGAGCTTCTTTTGCAGGATTTACTGCAATAACACAGCTTGGCATGGAGTTGATAACCTGACTCCGCCAGATGGATTTGCTCTGCATATCCATCTGGAAACCTTCCGTTGAAGTAAT